AAAATGCGCCATGATTTGTTTTATTTTGGGGCAGTTTGGTGCGTCATATGAACCACTTGTATGCTCTCACTTCATGAAGTCTTTAAAATAAAATTTACACTACAAAGTTTTTTTTTTTTTTTTTTTAAACTCCTGTTTCTGGAGCATTGCTGACATCTCAGGGTTGAAATAACAGAGATTTAGTCTTATTTATCTCCTCTGAAAACACAATTGTGTTCTTTTAATGCCACAAACCTGCAAGGGGCCTGAACCAAAACCTGAACCATAACTAAGTCCTCCTCCTGTCACAGAGGAATTCGGTATTTTCTTTTGTTTTCCTCTGTCAGGTGAAGTTCTTTGGTTTTAATTTCTCCGGGTCCTTTTCGTCCTCTTCTCATCTGTTTTTCAGACAGTTTTCTGAACGATGGCTTCTGGTCGGAGGTTCTGAGTCCCAAAATGTCAATTAAATGTCACAAAAGCTGCACGCATTTTTAGACTTAACACAAGAAATATCATTATGTAATTTTTTGTTTCCCCCCATTTTTCTTCCCTTTTTGGGTTCACTGTGTTTTGTATGAGTCCATGACTCAGTAAAAAATAAAAAATAAAAACTGACAAACAGCTTTGTCATTAATAAACTTCATCTCAAAGCTTAAATGCAAAAAGACAGAGAGCATTGACTTCCTGTTTTGTGGGATAGATTTTCTGCATCTTCTGGGTTTCCTCGAATAAAATCTTAAACGAAAGTAACATGATGTTTGTCTGGCTTCACGCAGACTCGTTTAATTTCCTTAAAGCTCACTTCCTTAATCGTTCCAGGGGAGCCGTAATCTGCTGACCTTCCCAAAACGGCCTCCATCTGTCTACATTTTTGGACAGACGGGTGAAATAGAGCCCTTTTTCCAAGGACAAAAACATGTTTGACACACAGAAACAGACTCATGACCAATCTGTGATGAGACTTCCTTACTAAGATTTGCTCTGTGATGGATCCTAAATAGTTTCTCTTGGGTTTAGTGGTCATTTTAGGGTTTTAGGTGTTTGGGGGCTCAGATCCGGAACTCCGTGGTTGCCATGGTTACCCCTCCTCAGCTGCATCGTCATTTGTAAACAAACAAAATGTGGAACAAACATCACATCCTGACAGGAATCAAAAGACTCCCAGACACAAATGTGGAACAACAAACCTACAAAATGGATAAAAACTGGTCTGAGCCTTTTAAATTCCTCCACTCTTTATTATGTGTTTCACCAAACATCACAAACGCCACAAACGTTCGGGCCATCGGATTCCTCAGCTCTCAGGAAATCCTGTTTGTTCTGTGAACAACAGTGTGGCCCCACATTTTCGCATAAACATCTGATTGTGTTTTCAGTGGAAGTTCACACAGGACAGAATCCCTCAGATTTGAACTGTGAAACATTGGATTTTGTACAGAAAACATCCAAAAAGTTGGACTACCAATCGCGAGGGATCAATGTTTTCCTTTGTGATGTGGTTTAATCTTGTAGTTTCGTTTAATGTCAGTTCAGAAATATTTTTATATCTTCGATAAATATATATATATGTATATATATGTATCAAGGTTCGAAATTCGTGGGAATCTGGTATTAGCCAGCAGGGCTAACAGCTCTGAAAGGTTGTTAGCCCTGACCAAAAGTAGCCAAAAGTAGCCTGATTGGTCAGGCTACTTCCATCATATTCGGAAATCAACGTGCAGAAAATGGTCTGTAAGCAGATCCTTGAACGCTGTGCTATAATATAATATCATTAAAAACGTTTTCAGTTCCTCTCGCTTGGCGGAGCAACCACGTCATGCCTCGAACGATTTCATAAAAATTATGATAAACTGCAGGATAACATGGCGGGAGGATGGATTTCAAACGAAAAGGTTTTTTTTTTTGTTGACTCCCTGTTTGTTTTAAATGTATTTGATATTAAAAACATCATTTGCCAACCCGTCCTACCCCACGGAGCTGAGCGCACGACGGGCTGACACCTTTTGATTTTCTTACACCCGAACAATAAAGCACACAGTTGAACGGTCATTTCGTATCCTGAAATGTATATATAGAAATGAGTCACTAAATAGTAAAGTTTTGCTGTTTCGGTGCATATCCAAAAAGTCGGACTGCCAATGACGAGGGTCAATGTTTCCCTTTGTGACTTGGTTTAATCTTGTAGTTTCGTTTAATGTCAGTTCAGAAACACTTATATCTTCAAATATAGACATATATATGTATATATATATATATATGTATATATAAATTAGTCACTAAATAGTAAAGTTTTGCCGTTTTGGTGCAGAAATCCTGGCTCTGTTCATCATGTCCACCGGTTTGCTACTCCGCTGGTCCTTCTGGAGCCTGGAAAACAAACCCAAAGGAGTCTTTTATGTTCAGGATATCTCGCTCTTAACCCCCAGGCTTTTAGGCCTTTAGCCTATAGGGGGCGCCACCTTTGTCCCCGGTTCTCTGCTCCTGGCTCTCATCTTGGTGGCCAGCGACTCGGCCACGTCGGCCCTGTCCTCGGCCTCCTCCAGCTCCTGCTGGGCCTTCCTGAACCTGGACACCAGCGCGGTGGACTGCTCCTCCTGGAAACCAACGGGTCACAGTGAGATCAATACCGTTTGGGCTTATCGATACCACTATCGAGTCTGGTCGTTTTTTTTATTATTACAATAGTAATTGTGAAATCCGTGTTGTAATCGGCAGCATACAAGCTAGTTAGCTCGAAAAGTAAAGAAAGTTTCAGACGTGATGATGTTCAGATTGGCTCAGTAAAACGACAATTAGGTTATCATGATGCGTTAAAGTGTAACGTAAAGAACAGGGAAATTGAGTTTTTGGCGAGAAACATGAGTAATACAGTTGTATATTGCTCTAATTATTTTAGAATATATATTTAAACTACTGATGCCAACATTTATTAAAAAATTACATTTAATTTAAAATACAATTATTTATTTGCTAAATATTGTCGCATCGTCTTTCCACCAAAAAACAGAAAAGTATCGATAGTGGTATCGATAAAGACTCGGATCGATAAGGAGTATCGATAAAGGTATCGATATCAATAAATATTAACGATCCCCATCCCTACCCCCCACCCCCCCATCCTTTGACTCACGGTGTCCTCGGCGTGGCGTTTGTAAGACTTCATCTTCATCTGCAGCTTGTCCACCAGGTCCTGCAGTCTGCTGATGTTCTTCTTGTCCTCCTCAGACTAGGGTTGTCAAAAGTATCGATACTTAAAAAAGTATCGATACTAAAATGTTGTATCCGGATACGATACTCATTTTCAAAAGTATCGATACCACCGCCCCTTCTCTCTGATTTATTTATGTATTTATTTGCGTTGTTTATGTTCATTAACTTGACGTTAGCCTTGAACTGCTAGCTGCGGCTAATGGCTAATAATAACGTGCTACCATTAATCAAGTACATATCCGACTCCGCCCACATCCAAATCGGCCATTTTGATTACGTCACCACAAGGAAAATCCCAGGCAAGAAAATCGTAATTGCCTCATGGCAATATATACATTAATTTAAAAATAGTGAAATTAATCTTTTAAACACTGAATTAAACTCTATCCATAATATTATGTTAAAATAGTGGATGTTAAATAGGTTTGTACAATAAGTCCAAACAAGTTTAACCAAAAAATTGTTTCTCACAATTATGAAGGCTGGAGGGTCAGGGTTAGGGTTAGAGTTAGGGTTAGGGTCAGGATTAGGGTTATTAATTCGGGCCACCAGCCACGATAACATCAGTAACAGGTCAGCTTGAAATGAAAGACACTAACCTGTCAAAATTCAGTACAATTTTGGGGTCTTTGTTTTTATCCTTGTGGTATCGAAAATGGTATCGAGTATTTTCCTGAGTATCGGTATCGAGTTGAAAATTTTAGTATCGTGACAACCCTACCTCAGACTGAAGGGAAGCAAACGGCTCTGGGTCACGTGCACGCTGCCCGCCGCCCGCTCCTCACCTGATAGCTCAGCTCTTTGACCCTCCTCTCGTGTTTGCGGGCGCCCCTGACGGCCTCGGAGTAGCGCCTCTGCTCGGCCTCCAGCTCGCTCTCCAGCTCCCGCACCTGAGGACCAGAACAGCTGGGAACAGGCTCTCTTAACTCATTGGCTGCCAAAGACGTCTATAGACGTCAATTCAAATACAACCGCTGGCTGCCAAAGACGTCTATAGACGTCTTTTATGTTTTTCAACGAGAGTGGCTGGGGGACGTTCTGCTAAAGCTTGTCCATAAATATCGGCTTCTAGACAGAGTATGTAGTAACAAATTGACCCTCTAGGGGGCAGTGCCACTTTTGATGGGAGATGAGCATAGACTGTAGGCAAATAAGAAAAACATAACGGTTCGCTATGAGAGAACATGGCGCCGGTGAGACGCAAGTCGAGGAACAACGGAATAAGGTAGAAACAAATTTATTTTCCTGATGAAAGAAGAGAGTCTACTCTTTCTTTTGGTGTGTTCGGTGTTTACATAGTCATAGCACAAACTATTCTGTGGCTCTTGAAAAATCAGTCAAAATGCTCAAAAAACTCTGGCAGTGAGCGACTCTGTTCTGAAAATGGCTGGCAGTCAATGAGTTAACATTTAGTTATCATTTACATCAACTGATCGTGAGAATTAATTTACCTCAATTACACCAAGATTTGAGTGTTGTTCTAAAAATTATTAATTCATGTCGACAGAACCTTTAAACAAATGCTGTGAAAGCATCGAGGGACTCATCTATAATAATGCTTCTTTAAAAACAAAAAAATCACAATCAGTGCTCAAAAAGCAAGTTTTTTGGCTCAGAGGTGCGGGACGATGGAGCTGTAGCCTCAAATCCAAACGGTTTCCAACTAAAAACACAGAGGTACAGACACAAAAACATCTACTCTGCTGCTTCCTTCAAGTCCTGCATCCTGTAAAACCTCCCAAACCTGCAGGAACAGATCCGGGTTTAGCCTCGTGGGGGTTGTGGTGACAGATTGGGGTGTCGACTGTTTTTTAAGCTTCCCGAAGAGCTCTGTTTTCTATCTCCACCGACTCCTCCGTCTCCTTACCACCGAACGAGTTCATCTCCGTCTTTTTACAGACACAGCTGTTGTTTTTGTGCTATTTCTTTAGCTCTGTCTATGCTGAAGATAGAGCAAAGACACCCCCCCCCCCCCCTCCCTTTGCCTCTGTGTATTAATGTGTGTAATAAATAAATGAAAGTGTTCTGTACTAACACTTTGGTGCTGAACACTGAATCAGAAAATTTGAAGTTAGACGGCTAAATTCTGTTGTTTTGGACTCATCCTCAGTCATTTCCATAAAAAAGCTAAAACATCTGGTGAAATCCAATCAAACAGTTCGGCATCACTGAGAAAATGTTTGTTTCCTGTTAGCATTAACTGAATGCATCACACATGCACACACACACACAGAACCATACTGTCGAGGGAGCTAGAGAGCAAATCTGTGTTAACTATCAGAGGTGAAAAAACGAATTTCTCATTGAAAATGAGGACCTTCATAAAAATCACAGAGTAACATCTATAGAACTAGTAGAGCTCATTGCCATGTGAAATAAAGTGAGGACCAGGAAAATGTCCTCACTTTCCAAAAACGACCTCACTTTGTTGGTTAAAAACTTCATCTGGTCCTCACTCTGATGCAGGAACAAACACACACACACACACACACACACACGAACAAACACACACACAGACCCTGTTTTCCAGCTTCTGGAGCTGCTTCTTCCCGCCCTTCATGGCCAGGTTCTCCGCCTCGTCCAGCCGGTGCTGCAGGTCTCTGACGGAGACCTCCAGGTTCTTCTTCATCCTCTCCAGGTGGCCGCTGGTGTCCTGCTCCTTCCTCAGCTCCTCCGCCATCACGGCGGCCTGCGGGAGTCCGACAGGAACACCCATTTCCTCCATCACTGCTCCCTTTAGGACGCAAAAACGAACTGAGCTGAGCCTTACGTCGGTTACGGCTTTCTTGGCCCTCTCCTCGGCGTTTCTGGCTTCTTGAACTGCCTCCTCGACTTCCCCATGAAGTTGGTTCACATCTGCCTCCAGCTTCTTTTTGGTGTTCAAGAGACTGGTGTTCTGTAGGACATAATCAGGTTGGACCTTAAATTAGCATTTACTTCTGACGAGGGTAATACTGTCTCTTAGGTGTTCTCATTCTGTCTGCTCCTTTCTATGCACTTCTGGAAGACTTTTAAAGGGGACATATTATGCAAAACCAAGTTTTTAATAATTTGATTATGTACATTTGGGACTGTGGAGGGCCTATCAGCAGCCAAAGTGTGAAAAAAAAAAGACTCAGTCATGTTTTTGTGGGCCGCCTCAGTCTGAATCCAGGAGATAAATCAGGAGGTTTCAGGAGTGGGTAGTTTCTGACGTCATTAGCTCTAGCTCATTATAATATTCCAGCCTTTCACCTGCATGTTGCCCCCCCCCTCAGCTTACTCCCCTATCTGTGGAGACGTCGTGGTAGCGTGAGCGTTAGCATGGTAGCGTTAGCATGGTAGCGTTAGCATGGTAGCGTTAGCATGGTAGCGTTAGCATGGTAGCGTTAGCATGGTAGCGTTAGCGTGCCGACGTGGGCACACCTCCCGGAAGAAGTGGGTGGATTGCCTGTGTCTCATTTGCATTTAAAGAGACAGGCACTCCAAAGCGAGCGCTCTGAACGGGGCTGTTTTGGGTTAGGGTTAGGGTTAGGGTTAGGGTTAGGCAGGGGGACTGAACTGCTATTGGGCTTCATCCTTATGGGATTTTGACCAAAGCTTGTCACTGACATTACATTAGGACACCAGGGAACTAGTTTAACTTGTTGAAATAGGGTAGAATATGTCTCTTTTTATGTTCTGCAGCACTGCACCACTACAGCACTTAGTTGTATCTGTATGTATAATGTATTGTTTTATGGCTTTGTTGTAAAGCCCTTTGGGTACCTTTTGGCTATTGTAAATGGTTATACAAATAAACTTGATTGATTGATTGATTGATTGATTGATTGATTGATTGATTGATTG